TTCTGAACAATTTAGTTTTTACGGTGCGTGGTGGTAAGCTTCACGCCCAACCCCCAACCTGGAGGACATGGATGTCCTTCGTCTGGCTCCTACCCCTTGACATGTCCGGAATGGGCGACCCCTACCAGTAGCTACGCTAGGGCCAGCATACCTCTCAGGGTCTCAGGAGCACTTAAACCCCAACACCACTATAAGGTGGAGACACCATCGGTGGGGACATGAATTATAGCAGTGTTCCGTGATCTGTTTCGGTTTTCTTTACGGAGCCAGGCAATACAGGTAAAAACGCGCTGTAGGATGTTAAACCTATTCATGTCACTTGCGCTGTCAGTAAAGAAACTGTAAGCGTAATTAGGTCTGTATTTTATTTGTTTTTTTTTTGTGGGCTGGGATGACTCAATCGGGAATGTGACTAGCAACTGGCTAGTCGATTAGAAACTACCAGCTTCCAGCTGGTTGACCAGAGTTTAATTTTCTAGGAGATGATGTATAATTGTCTTCACCACTACATACAGACTGACTTTTGAGCCCTTTGAGCCTCAAATAAATTCAAAGGGCACCATAAGCTCAGTCCTCGAGGTTATAAAGGCCGGAAGTGAAGCTGACCATTCACCTCCTTCTAGTGCCGAGGTTAAGAATGCGTGCAACTTCGACGCTAAGTCTTATATCCGATCCATGTTTGCGAGCGGGGCAACTTGCTGTGCCCAGTTCATATTTTCTCTTAGTAAAATTGAAACCTAACGTGATATTCATGCTGACTTCAGCGAACAGAACGTGTAGTTTTATTTTAAGGTTGAAATGAACATTTATGTCGTCTGAAACATTTTTCCGAATTGATGATTCTTACAATGAGAAAAATTCGTAAAGAAATAATTATAGGAATGGGATATAATGTTGTATTTTATCTGCGTAACAGGAATTTCTGAATTAATTTATTTTACTCAAACATTAAAATGAAATTTTAACATTGTTTGTACCTTACTCCGGTCTAGAAAACCGAAATTAACGGCTGTGAGGATTCGTTGCGCTGACCACTCAACATCCTCTATCCGAAAAAGTTGGCATCAAACTTCGCAGACAAGCGGCGGTCGCTCGGTCGGTATGGTTCGCTTGCTGACTGAAATCACGGAGTTTGTTTTGCCCCTTACTGGAACAGTCTGAATCCCATGCACATAAAGCAAAACTTTCGTGTTTAAATTGAATATGGCCTTGGAGTCGACTCAGCCTCTAACAGAAATGAGTACCAGGAATTTCCCTGATGGCAAAGGGCGGCCGGCGCGTAAGGCTGAGAACCTCACCGCCAACGGTGAGTCGATTGTCTAGAAAATGTAGGAGCATCGACTTCTCACAACCCTACTGGCCTCTACGGCCTCTTACAGGGATATCTCTACCTATATAAAGAAAGATATATTACTATGGATTTAGTGTTTCCTTCTTGTCTCTGGTGTTTTCTCTTTAAGGGCTCCTCGCACCAAGTTTCTGGCTGTCGCAATTTACAATACCTTCCTTCGACAAGCCTCGCAGTCTAATTAGTTTTGCTGTATCCCCATTCCAGGTTTGTCGTGGTTTGCTCTTCCTCCAGCGCCATACTGGATTCATTTCCAATGCCTTGCGTGGTAAGCAATGTTCTCCAGTTTGACGAATATACCCATACCACAACAGCCGTTTTCTTCCTTTAGATAGCTTATTATTTCTTATGCCTCAACCTTTCCGCTATTCACATCCGTCCCGACTTCGTCCTCAAGCGTTTTCCTTACACATTTCCAAAACTTCATTTATGTTACCAACAATTTCTTGTTCATATTTATTCAGTAACCTGTTCCATATGTTGTTACAGATGCTGTAGTACACGAACATAATCTTTTTAATCATGTTTGCACTTCAATCATATAAGAATGAATTTAGCATCCTAATGACAGCTGATGCCTTCTTTATTTGGTTGCGCACATATTCAAGGCCCCCTCGTTGGTGGCTCCACCTTATCGTGGTGAGGGGGTTTGAGTATGCCAAGGACCCTGAGAGCTATACCAGCGGTAGCGTAGCTACTGGCAGGGCCTCCCTTGCTGGACAGGTCAAAGGGTAGGCATCAGACGAAGAGAGACACCAAAAACCAAAAACTGATGCCGGAAGCAGCGTCATCAGCAGCGACTTGAAGCACAGAGCAAATGATGCTCGAAATGGTTCAAGTTCCTATAGCAGCAGGCGTGACCAGAGTGGTTTGAACGGCTGTTGTACTGCGATGTGGAAAGGAAATGGGAAAACTACCACATTATCACTTTTCCTGGATAGTCTCTTTCCAAAAACAGAGATACCAAGTATGGAAATGTGGTGTTGGAGAAGGATGGAGAAGATCAGTTGGACCGATTATGTGAGAAATGAAGAAGTGCTATTTAGAGTCAGTGAGCAGAGGAATATCCTACACGAAATAAGAAAACGGAAGGTCTAATTGGATTGGTCATATCTTACGCGGTAACTGCCTTCTAAAAGAAGTTATTGAAGGAAATATAGAGGGGCGGATAGAAGTGACCAGAAGACGAGGAAGAAGACGTAAGAAGATGCTGGATGACCTTGGGGACAGAAGAGGATATTTTCATTTGGAGGAGAAAGCTCTAGATCGCATCAAGTGGAGGAACTCTTTGGGAAGAGACTGTGGACCTGTCGTCTTGACAGATTACAGATGAATGAATGAATATTCATGGCGTGTTCCTGTCGTATTCAAGTCATACCCTAAATTCTTAAAACTGAAACATCCTTTGCTTTTTGTCCTTCAATTTATAGTGCTTCTACTTGTGAAGAACCTAAGACAATATATTGTCTTTTCTTTATTTTCCTCTAAGCTTCACTTGGAGTACTCTTCCAAAACCTTTCTACTCATATAGGCTGCATCATCTTAATCTTGATATAAAGCCACCCGATCATCAGCAAAGCACAGAATACGAGGTGCGACAATTTAATTACCGGAATGGCCCTGTGGGAGCAAAATATGCATACCTGTACACTAGTGGCTGCTGTCGCCTTCGAAATACACTCTTTGTGAAGCTATGCGCTTCGTGAGATGACGGTCGCATTGCCAGAAACAATCTTGAAAAGCATTTTTCGGAATACTTCGCAGTAACGTTGTCACGTTGCGTTGGGTGTCAGGAAAATCAGCAAACTTTGTCCCATCAGGGAATTTGTTTAATTTTGGAAAGAGCCAAAAATCGCATGTTGCTTAGTTAGGTGAATAAGGTGGATGGTTCATTTCTGTAATGGTTTTCATAGCCAGGAACCCGTGAAATCTTAACGCATCATGCGCATGTGCATTGTCATGCTGAAGAATCCATTTGTCAGGCCAGAGTTCTGGACTTTCCCTTGGAAAAGATTCCCCTACCATTGTCAACACTTCCAAATAACACTGCTGATCCACCATTTGTTCGTGCTCTGCCCACATTTGCATATGTCCTTTGCATTTTTGACTGCCCACTTCTTGGGTCATTGTGCACATTTTCTTGCACTTCCTTGAACCGCCTATGCCATTCAAAAACACTCGATTTCTTCATAGGATATTCACCATAAGACACTGTTGATAGGGCTGAATCTTCACTTGTGCTTTTACTAATCTTCACACAAAACTTGATGCTTATCTGCTGCTCCAGATTCTTGTCACTCATTTTTCCGCCAACAATATACCACGGACACGCAATGCTTCTTCTGCTGCTTTGGAACGAACGACTCATTTGATCCGTGGTTCATGTAAACGCAAGTTGGAACATATCCAAATGTTTGGGTACATGAGTTTGCTTGACTCAACATCCCAGCGACAGGCTGTGGCCATTCTGGCAATTAAATTGTCGGACCTTGTATTTAGAATGTGAGCCCATTCACCCATACTCTTCAATCCAGCTGCGTAATGTAACTTGTAATACATTTTAAAAAGATTTGGTGCCAGGTTTATCATGGACTGTAGCGCCCACAGATTAAATTACTTAACTCTCATAATGTTATATTTTAGCGTCCTGTTGCACTGATTTTCATCCATTATATGTATACAGTGGCCGTCCTGTAGTGCACACAATTTCACCTGTCACTTCACAACATGTTTCGGCAACATAGTGCCATCATCAGGTGTCCCAACTACGTCAATTTATCATAGTTGACAAATACGGACTTTTTAAATAATTTTTAAATGGTTTGTGAAAACATATGAGGGCAAGCAATGCAATAGATTGACGTAGATGGGACACCTGATGATGGCACTGTGTTGCCGAAACATGTTGTGAAGTGACAGGTGAAATTGTGTGCACTACAGGACGGCCACTGTATACATATAATAGTTAACTCTCGTGAATTGTCTCGTTGCCTCCCATAACTTTAGTCATGAAACAGAATCATATCTTGTACTTAAATCTACACACACCAAATGTCCGTAATGGATTTAATAAAACATTTTTAAATGATGCGTTAAAATAAATTTCTTAATTAAAAATAAATGTAGGCCTGTGTCTAAGCATGTTTCAATAATTCTCATTCATATGATGAACTGCGTCTTGAAGTGTCACAAAACAGTCGCAGACATTGCCGTGAACACAAGTCATCGTTGTCTTTTTATTTAAACCCCGAAGCAAAAGCACAGCTTTATGCAATGAGAATGTTTCTCGATTCACAGAAGTCTAATTTAATAACGTATCTCCTGGATTATGGCACCGTGTAATCATAACCCAGAAAACAATATGGATATATTCCTGAAAGCCTCAGATCTCTTTAAACATCTTCGTACTATCAGTTTTTAAAATTGCCTAATCTCCAGGAATTAAATAAATATAACTAATATTCTGTGCCAATGACGGTTCCGTATGTGACCAGTATTTCAAATCCCATGTACTGTTGCTGAATAAAAATTTGCTGCACGACGCAAAATCAGAAGTGATCACAGTACTTTGTATTGCGAAGTGATTTCCGCGATATTCTTGTGCAACGTTTGGCAATCCTGTGTGACGTCATTGCATGACGGGGTAGTAGGTTCGTGTTTTTTTACGACTTCGTTCGTTGTGTACGTTTTCAGACGATTCAATTGATGTAGCGTATTCAACGATATGGAGTGAGAATATGAAAAAAGTCGTGCAATTTTTGTATTTTTGGTGATATATGTGACGTGTTCTAATTTATTTTTAAATGCGCAGTATGGCGTGGGAATATTTTGCACGTAAGTGCTCATGTACGTGAGCTGAACTTCGCGGTGAATACCCGAGACTAAAGTTGCATGCAATTTGTTAAGGGGAATAACCATGTTCGGAAAGCAATCAAAATATGAAATGGCCATAAAAATACGTAAGTAAATTGTGTAAATATGCAGGAGATACATAATTTTTCGTCTCTTTGTATGAACAGTAGTTCGCGCATCATTTAAAATATGTGCATAGATTTATGATTATATGTATATATATCAAATTTCGACGTTTACCCATGTGGAATTGTACACTTTCGAATATATAATTATAAATGAATAAATAACATTTTACAGCTTTGTTTCTTGGTCCGAAGAGCTAAGTATGAAAAGGAAATTTGTCTGCACTTATATAGGTTAATGACCTTGCGGAATGGTCTCTTCGTGTAATTGTACCGTGTTTGAGCCTTAAAAGGACTTCAGTATTTGTATAATTCTTTGTTAAATTGTATATTTAGACACTATTTATAATACAAATTTGGAAATATGTAGCTGACCTATTCAGTACGGCTTTGCTTATGGTCCTGTACAATTCCAAAAGGGAAGCCCACACTCTTTTAAGTATTGTGTTTAAAATATTGGTCTGTGTTTTAACACTTACGATCCCATGTTGAAATACGACAAGAAATTCTAAGAGTGTGGTACAGATCAAACCAAATAAAATTTTTCTCTTTCCTGCTATATCTGGTATCATGTATTTTTCATTGTTCCTTACATTTACAACACTGGATATATTTAGTTAATATCTTCGATTTTTGTTATGACTATTGAAGTAAGTAATATGAGAGAGTAAAAAGGAATTTAATAATGTTGAATTTTTAAAGGTAATATATTAAGTGGTGGATAACATATTCAGATAATTTTAGTTATGCTGCTGGTTCTATACATTAATTTCAGAGAGGTTTATGGCATTTTCTCAGACATAACCTGCCTTTGGTGGACATGGCGAATTTCTTCAGATATATATATAGAACGTTGCTTCTGCTTGTGAACAGATGGAACCAAAATATCTCAGGTGGCGTGAAAAAATTTGATGGTATTTCTTTATATCAGAAATGTAGAAATCGAATAGAACTACTTGGGATTATGTAGTCTTTGGATGTTGACCATCATCTGGTGTTCTAAAGAATGCAGTGTTTCAGAAACTGGATCTTCCAACTTCGGATGGGAAGCACCTTCCTCATATTAGGTCCAGTTAGGTCTTTAAAACAGACCCAGAGCCGAGTAGGTGCCTGCCTGAAATGTTGCATTCCTTAGAATACCAAGCAATGGACAGGGTCCTAAAACTCAGTAACCCTGAGTGTTATACATCATCTCAACCCTTTAAAGTGAAATTGAAAAGGCAGTACTATGCATCCAGTGAAGTGACACTTTAGAGATTTTCAGGCTCTTAATGAATTTAGAGCATATGTGTTTGTATATAACTGACAGGACAGTAAAACTTGTATATATGTAGTCATTCCATGTGGGTTAAAATGACATAGATAGTGGTGTTTTTGAAGGAACTTTTACTGTTTTACAGTGTAGTGAGCATGTATTCCTATCTTTAATATTCAGATATTAAACTGCTAGGAAGTAGTGAATCTACTTGACCTATGTCCATTACTGAATTTGTATTTTGTTTATGCTAATTATTGTCAGAAATATGCCAAATGTTAGTTTTGAAGGGATTTTTATTATTATTACTCTTAGTAGGGTTAGACTTGAGTCCAGCTGGTACAACAGCCACTACTGGCCAATTGTATCAGCCCCAGATGATAGATGATGGTGATTGTGGAGCAATTGGTGGAATGAAGACTGCCAGGGAAAACCGAAGTACTCGGAGAAAACCAGCCCCAGTGCCACTTTGTCCACCACAAGTCCCACATGACCTGACCCAGGCTTGAACCTGTGCCACCATGGTGGGAAGCCAGCAACCAACAGCCTGAGCTATAGCACAGACTAGCCCTGAATTTACAAACATTTCAGATGGCGCAAGGTACATGATGACTTAGGTCAGTGTCTCACAGGGGTCTGTGAAGCATTTTGAGTTTCCCCAGTCTGTTTCCTGGGGCTGCTAAAAATATGAATGTTTTTTTTCTCTTTGTAATACATAAATTGGTAAGGAAAGGTCACATTAGATTTCAAAGACAGTATAATAGGAAGAATATGTAACAGATGAAAATAAGGTTCATTAGTAATTATTTCTTAATTACAAACAAACAAACAAACAAACTCCATTATTTTACTCTGCAAGTGAACTATACCGACCAAGTGACTGGCACTTGTCGGCGAAGTTTATTGCCAACTTTTGCAGGTAGAGGTTGTCATGTGTTCAGCGCAACAACTCCCCACAACCGTCTATTTCGGTTTTCTAGACTGGAGCCACTATTTCCTTGAAATAGCTCCCCATTTATCATCACGAGGCTGAGTGGTCCTGTTCCAGACCCACTACTTCTCAGAAAAATATCTGGTAGCAATGGGAATCGAACCTGGACCTCTGGATCTGTAGCCAAGAACGCTGACCACTAGACCACAGAGGCAGTCCATTATTTATGAATTGCTAATAGTAATTATTTGTTAATTGCTAAATTGCATTTCAAGACATTTTTACAGCTAGGGGCCTCATACTTTCCCCTTTTTCCTCCTCCTCATCCACTGAGCTTCAGACTAAGAGAGTTGGTAAGCCCTGACTTAGTTGGCATGCTTTATATACATCTGAAGCAGCATGATTTGACTTGTTTGCAGTAATATGCCTCTGACTAGGGAGCTATAAGTGAGGAAGAGAACAAGTTTTTTGTTGTATCCTGATAGTTACTGTCATATTTGAAAATACTTTATGCCAAGAATAGTGGTTAAGGTACTGTGCTACAAGCCGGAAGGTCATGGGTTCAAGTCCCGATGAGGTCATTGGATTTTTTTCAGTTGACCTAATCCTTCCGGCTGCACTAGGCCCTGGAGTTTACTCAGCCTCTAACAGAAATGAGTACCTGGAATTAATTAAATAATTTTCCTGGGGAGTGAAGCATGGCCGGCGCGTAAGGCTGACAACCTTACCGCCATCTTTGAGCCTATTGTCAAGGTAATGTGGGACCCTTAACATCTCACAACCTTATGGGCCTTCATGGCCTGCTACAAGGATAGCTTTACTTTACTTTATGCCAAGAAACAATAGTTTGTCCATAAAGGATAATTTAATATTGTCTGTAATTTCATGAACACCAGCAAATCAAATTTCACATCAAGAAAACAGAATCTTCCATATTGAGCACATATGCTACTTTTGTTAACAAAACCATCTACAGTTGGACATTACTCAAAATTTATTGCATCCTTTTGGCTAAGCCATTTGCTTAACAGTTTACTATGTAGCAGAATTAACTTCCAAGATATATAATTTAAGAGAGAGGATTGCCAATATTAACAGTCATTATAGAAGCATTGCAGTATGAAGCCGTGGTAATCTTTGCACAGAGCCACTTTGTTTAAAGAACCCTATTTGGGAAGTAGTGGGAAAGGCCATGTAAGGTGAATGAATGGTTTTCCAGTTGTGTTACTGTATCATGTAATTAACACTGAATGCAGTCTCATTCTCATTGTTCCTTTTCTGTCAAATTTTGGTTCTTGAATTTGTTTGAGCTGCTGTTATGTGGTGGTAGCAACCCAATGCTTTTAACTAGGAAAATTAAATTAGAATAATTTTATATGTACTGTAAAATAAACAATTTGTCATCCTGTTTCACGATGAATATTCTGACATGTTTTTAATGATCAAGGAAATCAAGAACAGTAGTGAAATAGCTTTTTTCAGATATTGTGAGGCAGACTCTCAAATAGGGAAACTTCATGTAACTTATACTGATGAGAGCCAGGATAGTGCAGTTGTTACAGTGACAAGGCTACAGGTTGGATGGTCAAGGTATTGAGGTTCAATTTCTCTTCTGTGCAGTGCCTAGACCAGTTCTGGGAACTACCCAGCTTCCTGTCCAGTGGACAGTGGGTAGTTCTTGAAAGTGATCACTCACCTATTCTAGTGCTGAGATTTAGAACACATGGAGCCCTATGTTCAGTCCACCATATACGAGTATCCTTATGGGGTGGTACCCAATTAAGCACACATGCAACTTCTCCCATTTTCTAATTTGTATATATTGACAGAAAGAAATTAAAGTTCTGTGAAGACCCCACGTGAAATGAGAGAGAAATTATCAGTTTAGGAATGGGTCAGGTTATGCAAGGTGTCTGAACTTTGTGAGGAAAAAGACAAAGAAGAAATCATGATAATAGTGGATTTATTTTTAAAACTGATGGCAGAAGGATTGTGTATAAAAAGGGGGCTCTTCTGTTGTATGGAAGAATTGAGATGTGATATGCACATTGTCCAAATGCGCCTGAAGAATAGATTTATGTAATTTTGTTCTAGTACACCTGAACCATTTATTTCTTTAATTTTGTTCTTAGACATAGGCTAGAACAAGCTTTGCAAACAGTAACCAGAAACTGTCTGTCTGACATGTAACACTAATTGAATGGTCATTGTTAAAAGAAACAGAAAATACCAGTGCCAAGAAAAGTTTTTTGGAAGGTATAAACAGTGAAGAACGAGAATTGACAGAAATGTGTACATCCTTAATTAGTTTGGAATTAATCTGTTGGTAGGCTTTTGTGATTGAAAGGGTTGTATTTGTATTTGAAATGTCTAGAATTTATTTCATTTCATTTTCATTCATTAATAAGTGTAATGCAGTTATAATTATATTAAAATCAGTAATTTTTTTTACATTCATTTTAAGTTAAAAACTCTAAATCTCTAAATAAGTTCTAAAGTTTTGTGACAATGGTACATTAGTACAAATAGTATGTTTCTGGACATTATCCGTTGTCCTGTCTTTGTATAAAAACACCATCCTGTTTATTTTTTAAAACACAATGTTTCAGATACTGGATTCTGTCTCCTTCATGTAAAACCTACTCAGTTGGACCCAATCAGTAGAGCTAGCCCCTATTTAGATAGGGACATTGTGTTTTGAAAAGTAAACAGGATGGTGTTTCTAGATAATGACAGGACAATGGACATTGTCCAGAAACATAATATTTATATTTATTTCTAGTTTCAAATTTGCTCATATGGGAAAGTATGCAGGCATGTTTGTTTCTTTAATATATGTGCCTTTTAAGAAGAGGGGGAGGTGAAATTTTCTGAATTGGACATGTATGAAATGAAATTTAAATGGTTATTTTATACTGATGTGAAACTTGGTCTTTCTCTCCAAGGAGAGAATACAGACTGTTTCAGAACAGAATCCTGAGAAGGATTGTGACCCTAAGCTAGAGGAAACTGTAAGAGAATGGAGTACATTAGATGACATGAACTAGCTTCACAATTTGAGCAGTTCATTCAGTACTATTAGGGCCATCAACATAGGTGTGAACAGAATCTTTTATCAGGGTGAGGAGCCAGAGTGTTTTGTTACAAACTTGGTTTAAGCTCTTTAAGACTATTTTTACTAATCACCCCAGAGTATTTAGGATAGAAGAATTGTTAACAAAATACTTGTAAATTTTATTATTTGTATTTGGTATATTTTTTCTTCAGTTTTTTATTTCTCCATCCAAAAAGAAACCCAGGTGGAAAAGATGCCTAATTTGCTTACCTGTCTGCAAACACCCATGGATGAGATGGGCAGGGGTAAACACAAACTATATGTAAGATTTGAGGTTTTCGAAAATATATAGTTGTCAAATTCCAAGGGAAGAAATCGGAGGGGGGGGAGGTCATAGGTATCGGTGTAGCACACATCTACAATTTAGAATTTTGAATTAACATGTCCAGAATTCAGCTTTCAATTGTTTGGGTTTAAACATACACTGCTTGTTTATAACCTGACCTTTTCTGTACATAACGACACTCTTGAAAGTTTGTATCTGTGCTGCTGGAAATTTGTAATCTTTATTTTCCTTACCTGAAGTATATAATGCTCAGTCCTTTGCATGCTACGAGCTGATCAAATCAGCTCAGCATTGTGTTAAAACTGTAAGCCAAAGAGATTGCCTTTTCATTAATCAGTTAGTACAGCATTTGTGTTAATGGATGAGATCCAGTGTGATATTGCAGTGTGTAGAGGAAAAAAGAGGCTTTATATGGTCATTTGGAAATAGTTTAAGGAATAATAATTGAAGGTCTTGGCAATCAGAAGGTTTGTTTGCTTTTTCCGCTTTTAACACAGTAACTGGCTGATTCTAATAAGAATTACAACAGATTTATGGATTCAGCTACACTTAAAATTTAAGCTTCTTAGTTGCAGATGAAAAATGAGAGGAACTGCTTTACCAGCAGAACAAATATCTGCTTCTGAAGAAGAACTGTTGTAATAATAATGCTGATTTTTTGTTGTTCTCCTCAGTTTCTTTAATTCTTCCTGATCCAGATCTTCACAGGTATTTCTGTAAGATCAATTTTAATAGTATCCTTTTATTTATTTCTAAATCTTATTCTTATGCTATACTACGCCTGTAGCTAAGAGTCCTAAGGGGTTTTCCTTTAAAATTTTGCAACCAAAATTTTTTCACATATTGTTTGTTACTCACCCTGTCTATTTCATCCATGAAGCAGGTAACAAGCTGTGCTTGCTGTCTGTTGGTTTCTTGCTTGGCTTACTCCTCAACCCTGAAGGTGAAGGGTACATGCTCCTCTAAAGCATCAGTTGACTTCAACTGGACTACACACTGGTATGTCCCAGAATGCGGAATTTTTCATAACCATATCCTTGAGAATCTCAAATCCTACATATTAGATGTAGATAGCAATGAGAATGCCCATTCTGTGTTACTCATAGGATTTACATATGAAAGCCTCAGAGTAAGGTCACATGACTACTGACATGTTATGCTGTCTAGTTCAGCTTGAAATACGTGTATAAGGAATGTTCGTTCAGTCCATTAGTATAAAGTTTTGCTTGTACCAGGATGTCTTTTTATTTTTGTAAATATTGTTATTGTGTTTTCATTCATTGGATTTCTGAAGGATGAAACACTGCTTCCATTGTAAGCTGAAATATACTGGATTCCTCATCACAGTGTTATTAAAAATGCATGCACCAACTCTCATATATCAAAATTTGTGCTAGATAGGTGAATTCTTAAGCATCATTCACCTTGTCATGTACATTTTAGAAGCAACTATGAACTGCAATTTGTTGATAACTACTTAAGTTCTAAGGTAAAGGTGTCCCTGTACTTAAATAAGTAAGCACTGTGCCATGAAGGCGTTTAGGGGAGTGGATGTGAAACCCACTTATGTTCTATGGAAGACATTTTTCATTTTAACACAACAAAACACTTTGTGCCATCTGTTGTTTTGCTTTATGAGAAGCACTGGGATTTCCAAAGTACAAATATATTATTTTTAGTATGTTAATAAGTTTACTTGCATTAATTTTCTGTTTGTACAGATGTAAATGTAGTAAATAAGCACACAACTTAACACCATAATAGTCTCAACCTGCATAAATTTGTATTTGAATATAAGGATTGATGGAATGGAGATGTTTTATATAATGAAACAAAGAAAGTAAACCGTATATTTTTATGTGATTGATATACCATTTGTTAACCAATGTCACCTTATTTCAGCATTGAATGTGATGAGATTGTTTTATTTAATTTCTTTGTCTGCTTAGGTATAGAGGTATAAAAATGGCTGATTGTATAATTCAAACAGTTTCTTGTATAGTCAGATACACAATGCAGTGTGATAAGGTTCATCACTTATAATATTATCATCTTCTTGTCACTGAGAAATTGAAAGTATTTACATACAAAATAATGCATGTGTGAACACTATGTGTAGTAATTGCTATATTGAAAATGTTGGGTTACATGACTTTGAGCAGTGAATCATTTGTGTTAGTTACATGTAAACTAAGGGCTGCGCCATAGCTCAAGTGGTTAGTCAATGGCTTCCCACTGCGACAGCCTGGGTTCGATCCCAGGTCTGGTCAAGAGGGATTTGTGGTGGACAAAGTGGCGCTGGGGCAGGTTTTCTCCGAGTTCTTCGGTTTCCCCTGCCAATCTTCATTCCAACAGTTGCACCACAATCACCGTCACCTGTCATCTGGGGCTGGTACAATAGGCCAGAAGTGGCTGCAGTACAAGGGACTTAGTCCCACCCCACTAGCAATAAAAAAATTCATGTAAACTAGAGGATATATCATGAGGGCAACTAGTGGTCATTGTGATAATTACTTCATTTTCCTCAGAGTCATAAAATTGATATGGACTAGCATTTCCAGACTATCCATTTTGAAATAAGTCGACGGAATCCCATTGTTAGATGTGAAGTGCCATTTGGAATTTGTTGTGAGAGAGGGGAGGAGGGTATTTTGATTTTATTTTATTCTTTGAACTTTTTTATGAATGTATAAATTGCAGTTTTGTGTGAAACATTGCCAGAAAAATGAAAATAAGGCAGCAAAATGAATATTACACCTTTCCTAGGATCAGCGGCTTTTCAGTCATCTTGTTCCTTAATTTGCTATTTATGCTGACTTCCACTTAATAATAACTGTCTGGGTTATTTTTCACGTTTTGTGTTACAGATATGAGACACACACATGAGAGGCAGACTGATTCTTTGTTGTAGTAAGAGATACTACTTGTTTGTTGTAGGTGGATCATCATTATTATTATTGCTGTTATTATGGTGGTGATGTTGGGATCGTCTTTCAAGGAGACATGCAGCATTCAGCAATTGCTGCCAAAGAAGAAAGTATGACTACTCTTCATAGAGGACAGGTACTCCGACAATATTGTAACAAACGAACACGAACAAAGGAAACTGAAATATGCACTTCTCCGAAAGGCATGGACAAGGAGAAGGATCTGTCCTCAGTATTCACATCACCTGTTCAAGTCAAAGATTCTCATCCAACGGTAACATCTGAACTGAAGCCCTTATCAGATTCCAAGCTATCAACATCCCAGCCACAAGTGATTGTACGTAAGTTCACTCTCCCACCTTCCAGCAGTTCATATTCTCTGCCCATCAAACCAAAGAAGAACACTGATTTTGGGAAGCCTAAACAGCGCTGGAAACAGTTATGTAACTTGCAGCATGAAATGACTACAACACTTGGAATATCAAGAGTACAAATGCTGAGCCCTTCTGCACCCCTGACCCAAGAATATTGTCCTGGTACACTTCAGAGTTATGCTGCTGGTACTCTGGATATTATGGATAGCACTCTACAGAAACTGCTAACTAGTAAGGAGGTTGATGTGGATTCTTCCATCCAAAGCAAAGAGGAGAATTGTGTTCCCTGTGTATCTTCCCCTGTTGCATCATCAGATGACACAGTAGATTCAGCAGCTGATTATGTTGATGTAAATGAAATACTAGACACAGCAGAAGAAGTACCAGAAATAGCTGCTGTGGCAGAAGTTTCAAGTACAGGAGGAACTGTAAGTTTTGGACCATTTGATACAACATACAGTAACATTGGGATTGTTGGAGGGAAGTTGGCGATATTCCAGCCACTTCCTGGAACCAAACACATCTTCCAGGAAGAAGGTGGCAATCCTAAAGTGAATACGATAGTTTTGAAGAGTCCTCAGGGTGCAGCTGTAGAAGCTCTGAGAGGAAAAAAAGTCATAAAGCCATTTATGAGCCAGATGGAAGAAGCGAGAAGCTTATTAAGAATGAAGCTTATGCAGGGAAATGTAAAAACTTGCTCTGAATTTGCCACTAAGGAGCATGGTGTTGGGCATAAACACTTGAAACATCCCTTTGAACCTGTCATGAAAGAGCAAAATGTTGTGTCAGGAAATAGGAAACATAACTCTCCTTCTGTCATCAAGGAGCAAAATGTTATATGGGCAAATCAGAAACATAAGCCTGAACCCAGTACAAAGCAGCAAAGTGTCATTCAGGGAGATGTGAAACATGCCTCTGAACTTTATAAAAATGAGCGAAACATAAAGTGTGGAAACTTGAAGAACGACACTCAACCTGGAAGTAAAAATGAGCAAAATGTAAAGCATGGAAACTCAAGGAATGACACTGATCCTGCAAGTACAGAGCAGAATATTACTGATGAAAACTTGAAGCATGATGACGAACCAAGCAGTAAGGATCAGAATGTTTCACATCGAAATTTGAAGAATGTATCAGAACCCACCAGTAAAGAGCAAAACGTTGCAGTTCATTCAGTACCTCAGGAGGCACAGTGCTTGAAAGTGGCACATGACTGCTTGCAAGATGTTCTTACTAAATCACCACAGACAGCAGCTCTTGTTGCTGCAAGGCAGTCCTCTGTACAGAGCAAGAACAGTCAGTCCATTAAACCTTCTCATAACCCAACAGAAGATGCAAGTGCAGAGTGGAAACAGATGGAGCAACTGTATCTTGAGATTATGAAGATGAAGAGAAGATGGAACATTGCAATGAAGGTAGAACGTGATGTGCTACGTGCTAAGGACATTAAATTGGTTCAAGAAGTACTGCTTCCTGCACGCAAGGTGCTCTTGTCTGAGGTGGGTACACAAACCAACCTGTTTTCCCTGGTTGAGTCTGGACGTATGGTTGAGATGAAGATTAGCACTGACAAGAATGGTAAGTAGGCACACAGACAAAGAATTTTGCTTTTTATTATGTGCTTGCTTCAGTATAACAGTCCTTTGCAATAAGCATTCCCCTTAACACTTCCGCAGTTTTGGACAGAACTGTTAGACAAATATACATTTTGTAAGTTTTGAGGTTTTCACGGCAATGACAATGAAGAAAGTTGTCTTCTGGGTTTAGGCACCATGTATTCTTCGTTTTGGCCGACGTTTCGGAGGAACGTAGCGCCTCCATCTTCAGAGCTCTGAAGATGGACGCGCTACGTTCCTCCGAAACGTCGGCCAAAACGAAGAATACACGGTGCCTAAACCCAGAAGACAACTTTCTTCAAATATACATTTTCTTTATACTTTGCCTAAATTATCTTTTGAGGGTACACCACATCTTCTGCAGGCAAGTTTCTGGGATAAAACTGTTGTGTGTTCAGAGAAATCTCCAGTGTGGCAATTTTCATTCCCATCATATGTGTAGGTTTGATTCCAGGCAGGGACAAGGGATTTTTCTTTTCTCCATAGTGTCCATACCAAATCTGGTGTCCACCCAGCCGTCTATCTGATGGGTACCAGAGGCTCTTTCCTTAGGGTAAAGTGGGTAGTGCATGAAGCCGACCACTTACCTCAATCTGGCCCCAAGGTTAACATTATGTGGGTCTGTATTTCCATTCACCTATGTGTCCCCATAATGTGGTACTTAATTACAGTTACAGCTTTACCTTTTCCACACATGCTGGTAGACAAGATGGCAGATAATTTACGCATACCAGCAATTTGTGTAAAGTCGCATGTCTGTTCGTGTATTGTGTGTTTTAACCTTGAGGCTGTAACTGAAGATGAACATAGTAAACATGTTTTTGGAAAAGAAGTGCTGAACAGAAGTAGTGTACTAAAATGTGATGTTTTTTAATAATGTGTTCCAACTGAACATGTCTCATATATTATATGTTGGAGAATTGTCATTACACATTTTAGGTGTTCAATATTTCTCTTCCAAGTTACATTTTGTAAATCTCATATAAAATGGTAGGTGGCATACTGGTACTTGTGAGAGATGCTGAAACAAATCTCGCCACGGGGGGGGGGGCGTAGCGTTTCTCAAAGCACTGCTGTTTATGAGAATAAGACTCTATGTGGGAATAGAGGGAATTCTTGCTGCTCTTAACACAGCAGATTTGCACATGCTGTAATTAAACACAAAAATTGTGACGATTTTAGGCATGAAGTGTAGAAACGTGAGACAATAAGTAATATATATGCAACATTATTAACCTCAAAGCCAAGAAACTGGTTTCTGGTGCCATTACACCACTATTGCCAGCACACTGGATTTGTTTGTGTTTCAGGAATATACACAAATTAGGGAATGAGGATCAAATTGCTGTGATTGTCAGAACTGGCTGCAGATTCACCACAGGCACTAGAAAAACACTGTTGGTGAAGGATCCATTTATGTATATTTCTGCGACTTACTTGAAGTCATTTGTAGATGCAGTAACGAAAAGGAAAGTTTCCTTAAGCACATTAAGAGGATATTAACGTGTGGCATTGAATAAAATGGTGGTCCATATTCTCTTAAAAAAGATTTTGGCTGCTGGTCATGGTACAGAATATAATTCAGATATATTCCCTTCTGATACAGACTTATAAACACAGTCTCCATATCTCAGTTCAAAAATACAGTGCAGGATTTATTGATTATGAAGATAATTCTTTCAGCTTTCAAGAGTTTCTGATATGTGGGATAATAGAACGTTGCTAAATAAGGAACTATATTTGTATCCATGTGTGTAGAAAATTATTTATTGGGAAGCCAGATTTTAAATGTATGGCCACTGAGGTCTCCATGCATACTCTTAATGTCACACAAGTATCATTATCAATCATATCTCATAAGTTTACTCTTAGTAAACTAGTTTTCTTTTCATTGAGGGCACCTCAGCTAATTCAGTAAGAGAATAGAGATAAAAACTATAGATTCTGATTTCAAATCAAAGTATTGTTTCATTTTAGAGAGCAGAGTAGCTCTTAGTGGTAACATATCATAAGTGTATCCAATTCAGGTTTTGTTCAGTTACCTGGTAAACTTATGTAATCCATGACTGTTTCCTTTGCAGTGTTTTCCAATCACAGCTATTCTCACCTGTCATATTTCCTCGTATCTTAGTGGAATTTTGTCTCTCATCTCATTCAGCATTAAGTAGTCACATTTCTCCATACTAGATATAGAAATGTTGCTCCTGTGACTTATGTCCAGATCATCCTCTGAGAAATTGGGTGTCCACTGTGTAAAAATGAGGTTGGCATTAAAGTAACTGGGCCATTTGTTACTACCATAAAGAACGATAGTGAATATGCATAGAGTAGGTAAAGTCACTCCTTTGCTTAAGGATCACATTCTTTAGTGGGATATGTTATACCGCCAGGTAAAAGTGAATGGTTACCTTCACTTTCTGGGAGGTTTATTGCCTGGGAAAGAGCTCCCTGTACCAATTTTATAGAGCGGGTGGTACCAGAGCTGTTTTAGATGTGATGAAAGATGGGTCTGAATACTCAGTACCAGGGTTGGAACCCTGGACATTCTAATATGGTCGCATACTTGTTGAGCTGTTATGGTGCTGTATTATGTTTGCAGTGGTGGTAATTCAGTAGCCAAGGAATTTGGAGTTGTTGCAGAACCTGAAGCTACATTACCATAATCACATAAAGCCAATTCATTCCAGTTCTGCAGGTACAAAGCTAGTCATGCTATTTGAGAATTATTCTGTCAATTTCCCACAGCCTGATTATCAAAGATGCTTTTAGTATTGTCATGATTTTGAGTGGCTGTCAACGGGGTTTTGGATTGGAAATTGAATTTATTGACCAATTTGACACGACTCATGACTACACTTAATTATAGCACCATTGATGATTTCCACATTTTACAAATCAGTGCATCACACATAAAGTCTTCTCAGCCCCCTCTAGTCTTTTCCTGTTAAGGGCTTCTAACAGTGGAGTTACTTCATCTTCTGCATTCACTCCATCGCTGGTCAGCCATCTTCTCAAAACTGAATTAACCGAACCGTTTGAGTCTTCTCTTCACAGACTCCCTTACAGTTCTCTTAGTGCTTAAACTGACTATCTTCCAGGCTGGCAGCCATTTCACACCAGTCACATAGCCTTCTCTTCACAGACTGACTTTCAGCTGACTGAGCTACAACTGACAGTTCAGTTTGTCTTGGCGTCAGGCCCCTTGAGACTCATGACCTGATATTTCTTTTCAACTGCACCCTTGTGTTCATAGCCCTTATGCAACATCCTCTCCATTCAGAAGATGGGTTTGTCTGTTATGATATGCTTGGTGAAGCGTGTGTATCGCACGCACATATAGCATGTTATTGAAAATTCTTCCTTGTGCACTATCTACAAGTCCTCTCTCAATCCAGACCGACTTTGTCCTGCCTATGCACTCACCTTCAGAACGGCATTATTTCATTCAATGTTACCTTGTACATGCCGTAAAGAGCACTGAGAAGCGGCTACTGATCTAGACCTTTGCAGAAGTTTGCCATGTTCTCCTTCTCACTATTCAGAGTAGAGGTCCATTCAGGGCTTTCCCCCCACTTTAGCCGGTGCGCATCGGGCAAGGATCTCAATGTCATTGAGTACTTATGTACTTGTTATGCTGCAGAAGCAGCGTCTCATGATGGCATGGCATTGAGATTTCAGCGATATCAGCTTCTGTATGCAGTATTTCCAGAATCCCGGCACGTCCGCTGTCTGGGAGTACATTCAAGTTCACCGCATTTTTTTTTTGCACAGCACTGCGTACAACCGCGGCTGGGCGGCATACCACCGATACCACCTTCGCCGAACTGCAGACGGCCGTGAACTCACTTGATGTGCATAAAACCGCTCTGTCCAACACACGCTTCGTTCAAATCTGATCAAGACTTGTAGCCGACTTGCTGTCTGACTATGAACTTAACAACACTTTCACTAATCTCTGTAGCAGACACTGAGTTTCAAGTTTCTGACAAGTCCTCTGACTCATCTGTCTGACCTGACTTAAGCTATAAACTTCGTCCCGCTTGTAACCCGTCGGCACGGACCACGTAGAAAACAGCTCTTCTATTATTGTAGTTCAGCTGTTGCTACAAAGACGCGTTCACATAACGGCTGCTGCGCGGATCACAGAAAACACCACTTCCAACAGTTCCTCTGTTGTTGCGTGTTGATGCGTTGCCGTTGGAACGTGTTCTTTTTTTGCGATCGCTACCTAGTCTAGGGTCTACACGCTACAATATTATACCCCCATGTGTGTTCTGGCTCTCAGAAAATTTCCCATGCTATCTAGCGAGAATGTGGTGTGTATTTCATGTTTCAGTCATTAAATATTCGTGTTTTTCCATCTCAGTGCTTATTCACGCGACTGCTGTAATATCTGCTATGATTGGAGGAATCTTTTTGGCACAGATTATAATTAGAATGATTGCGTGAATAAAGTTTTTATTATTTATGTTATTATTGTGTGTGGTAATTTGTGAAGCCAAGGGTTCAGAATCTTTTATGGTCCACTACAGCCTCCTGTTTAAGTGTGTTAGGATTGAAATATATGAAACTGGTTCTGCCTTCTTATTTTACATAGATGTGAATCTTGGTTCTCTCATGTCATCCTAAGGAAAGGCCGTAGTGTTAGAGTATTTTAGAATAAGGTTCGGGTTTGAAGCTATGAAAAGGCGGCTGGAACTGGAAGCTGGAGAAAATTACATAATTGGAGAACTTTACGCTTCGTAACCTTCATCAAATAAAATAAAGATGATGAGATCAAGGAAGATGAGATGGGCAGAGCATGCAGCACTTATGGGAGATATGAGGAATACGTACAAATTTTTGATCAGAAGACCTGAATGATAGAGACCTCTTGGAAGACCCAGGCATAGAAGGGAGGGAAATATTACATTGCATCTGACAGACACTGAGTATGAGGGAGTGGGCTCGAATCGTGTGTCT